ATTTGCTTGGTTGTCTGAGCAAAACCTAAAGAAGGAGCCGTGCGGAGAAATTCTGTTCCCCTGTGAAAATCTGCCCCCTGTGTTGGGAGCGCGCATTGCAGCCATAGAGGCGGATCTGACCATTTTCATGGCGTTTCTGATCGATTTCTCGGTAAAAACTACTCATATAATCATGTCAGTGTTGTAACTTTCAGTTTAATCGGCAGCTATCAAAATAAAAATACATACATAAATAAACGAGGTCCTGTGTGGAGGTCTTTTTACGCTGTTTTGTGTTATTTTAAACGCGAAGTGAATCGATATTTTTTTCAGCGTTTGCCTCGTAAGCCTGACAAATAAAAGTCAGTCAACAAACACAGGTTCCCAACACGAAGTGTGCATTTATAATTTTTCATTTCTGATAAAGGAGGAGGGAAGCTGGTCGATAGCAGGGCACAAAAATAAAGACTTCCTGAAAAGATCAGAGTGTAAACTTTTTGGTCAATCACGTTCTAATGTAAAATGACAGATTACTGGATTAAGGAAATGTCTAGTATGCTATCACACATAATAATTTTTGAGAATTTGGAAACAGTTGCTTTTTATTTCCCAAAGTTATGGGGGGAGGAGAGGAGAGAATGGATATTTCAGCTGCCTGATAAAATCTGTTCCCCCTATAATGGAAATAAATTAATGTACCTTCAAAGTCTTTTACTGTGTTAATTCCCCTCATCATCAACAAGAAATCCTGTGATTTTCATAACATTTGCTCTTTTTTTGCCAAAGTTAGGATGGGGGAAACCTGTGTTTGTTGACTGACTTTTATTTGTGAGGCTTACGAGACAAAAGCTGAAAAAAAATCGATTCACTTTGCGTTTAAAATAACACAAAACAGCGTAAAAAGACCTCCACACAAGACCTCGTTTATTTATGTATGTATTCTTATTTTGAGAGCTGCCGATTAAACTGAAAGTTACAACATTTACGAGTAATACTTACCGAGAAATCAATCAGAAGCGCAGTGAAAACGGTCAGATCCGCCTCTATGGCTGCAATGCGCGCTCCCGACACAGGGGGCAGATTTTCACAGGGGACAGAATTTCTCACAAGACCGATACCGTTCCATCCTTCAGTCCAGCCGCCCGCTTTGTGAATGCGCCTTATGGACATAAAGCATCTTTGTTCTGTAAATGTACAACTTATACACATGATTCTACGATTTAGAATAAACGTCCACATTCCCACTCAAAGACTCTCTGACTCTCTGTCTTTAAATCCCGCTGAACGCGTTGCTGTTCTAACAGGCATTTGCACGATCTCTTTATTTATTTATTTATTTATTTATTTATTTATTTATTTATTTATTTATTTATTTATTTATTCATTCATTTTTATTTTTTATTTTTATTTTTTTTGCTTTAAAATGTATTTTTACTTTTGTGAGGTGACCTTATGTGCCCTCAAAGCACCTTTTAAATAAAATATATAGTTATTATTATTTTAAATACTTATACTGCTACAAACAAGGACGTTGCCATGGTTACTGTTTCAGGTGGTGGCAGACTTCCGGGTATTTATACTAATTTACATTAATATGTATTTGTGAGTGGCGACAGAGCGGACCAGCAGCTGCTCTATTTCCCAGAAATTAGGATTTATAAAGGAAAGGTGCGCGTCCACGGCCGTGCGCACGGCTTTATACATCGCATTTTTTTTGTGCTCCACACTTTTCTAAATTTTTTAGTGTGAAAACTGCGCAGTCTTTTATGCACGAGGCCCCATTTCCTTCTGTCGTTTGATTCAGGTGTGTTGGAGCAGGGGTGCATTTGTGGTTTAAACATGATAAAATAAGGAGAAATGCAAAGAGTGAGTTTACTTGTTCAAAGGAACATAAATATCAAGAAAATGTAAATTGTTTTGTTAAATTAGAACAGAGAAAATGTTGATTTGTTTCATTTCTTCTGAGTGTAACACACCTTCACCATGTTACCATGGAGACAGAACAGACAGGTTGTTCATTAATGCCTGCAGTTGATGTCCTTATTGATACCTGAACAGGGTTATTCATTTACTGAGAAGGACATCTTTGTGCTTATTATATTTAGGTCAATGAAAGAAAATGAGAAAAAAGGTAAGAAAAGAGTAAAATAATAAACTACAGTTGACATGGATGTGTTCTGGCATAAATTCAGTCTTTCGGTTTAAATGTTCATGCAAATCCAGATGTAAAACAATGTTAAAATAAAAGATTCCTCAGGAGATAAATTAATATCAGATTAATCAATGTAAAAAGAAAAGGATGAAATATAAATGTGCAATATGTCATCTATGAAGAACATCTTTAGTTTCCTGATGTAGGTTGTTCTTTAATATGTTGCTGTAAAAGTTTATGATTCCAGAGACGTTTTCAGGTCAAGGTCATGAACTGAGGACTGAGATAAAACCTGTTTGTTTTTCTGTCATTGATCCTTATCAGATTTCACTGGAAGTCATGGCAGATGGATGAATTTTAATGTTGACATATATTAGAAAAACAATCTGTAGAACGTTTATACGTTTTGTTTCTTTTACTAAAAACTTTGAAATACTTGTAAAAAGTTAAATATCTTCCATTCCAACAGCATATTGAGATATTCTAACATTCCTAAGATATATCTGTTATTACTTGTCACATGAGTTTGCTCAAAGATTTCTGCACATAAACTCTAGGAAATCAGACAAAATCAATATTTAGAAACTCAGGAATTAAAAAACTTAAAATTGAAATGATGTAATTTTTTGTATGAAGCTTTTGGTTATATTCAGTTTAAACCCTGCAACCTGACTAAACATTACTCTATGAATTAATTGATGCATTTATCATTAAGCATTTCTTGCAATTTAATAATAAATAAGGAGGTGAAAGCAGGAGTACTGAGTATCTCCACAAACAATGAAAGAAATTAATAAAGAAAGAGAAAAGAAAGATAGAAAGGAGGAAACGGGTCGCTTTTCTCACGTCGTTTTACTTCTCTTTGTTTTGACCACTAGGGGTCACTGTTGGATTTTCTATCAAATGCATGGAACAGTTTTCTATTGTGCTGAATCTGGGAACAGGAAGTGGTTGATGTCTTTGCTCTCAATGTGAAGAAAGTCTGCAATGTGTTTTAAAAATATCAATCCAACTAAATGATCTATTATAATTTTATCAATCGCTTCTCTTTCAAAACGTTAAGGATGAACTCACACATATTGAAAAGAATGATAACTGTAGCAACATATTAATTGGAAGTTTACTGATTATAATTTGTATATAACTGTCAGCATACATGTGTTTATATATTCAAAGTCATGTTTGGGAATTTATTCATGCTTCATTCATTTACGGTTCACATAATGTCAAAACATATACTGAATGTTAAACTCTGTGAAATGTGAAAAAGATGTGAATAAATTAAGGGAACGTTAGAACAATATAGATGATGCTAATGCTAAATCCAATAACAAAGCTTTCTCACTCAGTGACCACATTATTTAATAATATTGAGATCCTGATTATACATTGCAAATATTATAACTGTATTTAGGCAGGTAACTGGAAAAGTCGACAATTAAAAGTTTAATGAAAATGAATAGAAAGGAGTTCAACTAAAATGAAAGCTGCAAAGAGTTCTTCAGCTTCTATTCTATTCTATTCTATTCTATTCTATTCTATTCTATTCTATTCTATTCTTTAGACTGATATGCAGTTTTTAATTTCTGCATTTATCCACCAGATGGCGCTGACATCCCTCTGTATCAGGGTCAAGTACCAAAGATAATCAGATAATCAGATAATCAGATAATCAGAAAATCATTGCATTAACCAAAAAAAAAAAAAAAACACCTTTCAAAACAAAGAGATGAAAAGGAAGTTGGGGAAGGGTTAGAGATGAAAATGGAAGAAAACAGAATCAAATTCTGGCAGGAGGATTGTTGTTAGTGAATAATAAAAAATAATGAAAAAACGTTAAAAAATATTTTCAGTTAAATATCATTGACACAGTCATTGGAGTCCTGAGTACAGTCATCAGTAAATAAACGGTTTCTGAGCACCGGGTCTCTTTAGGCTCAGATGTCAGGCAGCGATGCATGAAAACAAATGGAACTGAACCAGTTACAATGTAACTGAGCCGTCAGCCTGTTTGCTCTGAAAACATCTCCACCTTTGACTTTCAGGAAAACTAAATATTGGCTTTAGGTGTGAAGCCATGTCTGTTTTTCACAGACTTCACTTCACATGCTGTGAAGTTTGTTGATACAAATATTTTTCACGCTTATGAACTGATAACATTTTTGTTATGACTTTTTTAACTTTGCTTATCCAAGGAGAGCAGTTTAAGTTACAGCAGCTGAGAGACATGAAGCAGGAGTTGTTCTAATATTTAGATTTAATAATATTTGACAGAAGGATTTCCAATTTGAATATTTTGTTTCTGGATTCTTGTGTACATTGATACAGTTCTGTTATAAAAATGCTGAAGTGAAGAGCTCTAGGTTTGATTGCACAGCTGAGTGTGAAATGTCAGAAAAATAAAACAAACTTGAGGACACATATAAATCCAAACTCAAACTTTTGGCCCCCCACTGGGTTCTATGTCAGGACATACATGGAGCTGAGGCGACCTCAGACCACAGGCAGGGATTAAACGCCTGCAAAAGAGAGACTAACACTGCACACACAGAAAGGGGCGGGGCAAAGGTCACAGAGAGAGAGAGAGGGGGGAGTACGGTGTTTAGAGAGAGAACCGTTTTAATAAGACAACACGCTCAAAAGATGGCAAAATGTGACGAGAGGAATCACTCTAAAATGTTCTAAAGTTACTATATGCTAGAATAAAATCTTCTTTAAAAGCACATCAGATGTTTTTGAACTGTAAGACATAAATTTCAGCAGTGCAAAAATTACAGGAACAATTACTTAACAGTGTCCAAGGAAACAGTAACCCTAAAAAATGATTAAGGGGGAAAATGTGTTGCTTTAATACAGACACGCACACACCTTTTACTTTTTATCAGTGCCTTTATTTGGAAAGTTGTTAGAAGGGATAAGCTGCTTTCTCTTGCACTACAAGCAGAAGGTGTCTGTGCCTAGTGACTAAAACTAGTATCTAGTATATTTTTGGTCAGTTTTTTTTTATATTGAAGCAGCAGAGCAGGAACATTTAAGGAAAAGTAAGAAATGCCAGAGTGATGGCCAAGAGGCACGTTAACTGGTATCTGTTGAGGATTCATTTCAGCTAGTAGAGGAGGAT